GGCAAATTTTAAATACCTCAAGTCATTCTGAAACCAAAAACAACTCTGTCTCAACTGTTTGCTGAAAGAACATGGAAGATGGCAGGAATACTTTAGCAGGGAGCATCCATCCTCATTTTTCATCAGTTTGGACCTCTGAGCTCATGAAGGTGTTACTGTGTTCCTCTGGCAACTAAGAACATCTATTAGAAGTCATAACAGTGCAACAATTATTCTTAACCAAACTAAATAATATTTATCTATAGCGTGCTAAGTACTCTATTCACAAATTGTTGATAATCAATCATATCAATCATATCTTTATTCCAGACACTAAAAAGGTCCATAGAAAAAAGGTAAAAACAAGCAAAATAAGAGAAAAATCAAATTAAACATGACATGATATTATTCACCGAGTCACAAATAAATTATGACACCAATGATTCCATAATCTTGAAGAGAATCTCACAGCACTAAAAGCAGGATTTACTAAAAGATTTACTAAAATTGCAATTATATTATTGCATGACGCAGATAATCTACACATGTTATACATAAGATTCCTGAGCACAGCTACACATGTGGAAACGGCATTATGTACAAATATAGGGCTAGCACTACTCCATCTAGGCACTTTGAGTAGTAGCTTCAAGCCATCATTGTAGGACACATAAAGTTTCTGCAGGCTACTGTTGTAATAATGTGATTCATGAATATGATTTATCGTTTTAGAGTCAAAGGACAGTTTCCTCGTTGATAGATTAAATAGTTTCATCTTATTTTTTATATATATAAGACTCTATAAACAAAAAGTATCTCAATAATATACATGGCACTGTAAAAACCAAAAAATTAATTTTTGCTTATATCTGTTTAACAACCCTGGTTGTAATAACCTGGATTGTTATTCTTCTGTAATTCATTTGTTTGTTATTGACTTTTGCTCAATTAAATTTCTTACGTATACATTGCAAATGGTATTTTTATTATAGTTGATTATGTTGTTTTTCATGTCTCCTTATTTCTTTTGTTCTTCCTATAATTGATGGAGATATATAAAAATTATTTATAATGTGTAAAGGTATTGTCATTTAATTAGCTCTACATCCTTAAGAAAATAAAAAAAAATATGTTTTATAATGCCAGTAATGCCTGAATTAATAGTAAATAATAAAGACTTTGTGGTATTCTGATTTAGTAATGTAATTATATTGGTTGTGTTACCACCCCCACGCCACTAGAGGCAGTAGAAGGCCTGGAAAGATGCGACTAAGGAGCAGATTTAGAAGTACACCGAAAGCTACAGAATTTGCTAAAAACTGTGAGCTACCGTGAAGTAAATAAAAGAGAGAAGTTCAAATACATTCTGAGAGTGAAACTCCTTCCTAAAGGTGAAAATATATCACAGATTTCAAAAGAAAATAAAAACGGAAGTATAGGAAATAGCGCTCCCTTCACTTCCGGATTGCAATGGCCCCATTTCCAAATACGGTAAGAGACTGACAATGGTCCGGCCCCGCCCTTTCTGTTTGCTGCAGCGAGGTCCTTCTCGAAAATTATGTATTTTCCACCCAGTTTTGCACAAAACTGTTAGTTTATGACATAAAATCCATTTAAGATTAATTAGAGCGGTTGTTGCATTACAAAATGTTTTAGCAAGGTTCTGTAGGTCAAGAAAAAAAAATCCAAAAGATCTCTATTCGCTATACAGAAAACATCCCAGAAAGACATCCACCGATTCTTTCATTTCACTTTATTTGACAATTTTTAGATCATTTATTTCCTTTTCTTACAATAACCACATACAATGTTTATCAACTGGCTAAAATAATATAAAACATTACTTCCACAGTTTATTTATATTATGTACATGCACTCATATTTAGAGGCCCACAGAAAAGAGAAAGTCAGGCCTCAGTTTATTCACAAGTGCACTTTCTTCAGTCCGTCTTTGCTGCAGAGAGGCCGTTCCGACGGGGATCCTTCGGAGCCGGTTCGGACTTGTTTTTTCATAGACGTGGAAGCATTGTTGGTTTAGAAATGACCAAATGAAAGTGGCCAACGACTAACAGTCACCGCTTTGCTTTTGATTTGTTTTTTTCCCTCCCCACAATGGAGCTTATCTACATGAAGCTACAGTATCTTAGAAGGGGACGACACACTGATAACGAATGATTTCATCACTTTCAGCTGGATTCACAATGACAATCTATACACCAAGTGTCTCAAACTGGAAAAACAGAGGAGTATGTGGAGAAAAGACTCGACTCTCTCTGCTTTTTCTCATTCCAGAGCCAAGATATACTGACGTACTTCCTCCTCTGCCGATTTCATAACAAGCATCAGGATTGTCTTTTTCTTTTGACTCCAACCTGACCGGTGTGTATAATTTCTAGCCTTATCTCCAGTTGTAGGCACACTAATGGACACATAAGCACACTAACGTCTGAGCACTAATGGTTGGGAAGAAGGTAAACCGTGTGAAACGTCCTTCTTTACTGCAAAACAAAACCAGTTGAGGATTTCGGAGGATTTAGGAGTGGGTTCTTATTTGTACAGCTTGACGAAATGAGTGAGCTGAGCACTTGCGCCAACGCTAATGCATTTAAAATGCAAAAATACTTATTACATGTACAATCATTTGTGTTTTTGTAGTTTGAAAAGGGACAAAGGAAAAAAAAAAGAAAAAGAAAAGATGCTTTGCTTTTCACCTGTGGGACAGTGTAATAATACTTTAAACAGATTCTTATTGGAGTGGTCCTTCAGGTGCTTCCTGTCGCCTCCGGCTGATCCTCCCCTCTATGTGGGAGCGAACTTCCTGGCTTGTGCCCTGACCCGCTTCTCATAGTCCATCCTGTTCTGACTGAAACACAAAAACGCAAATTAGACTTGAGCGATATTTAAAAAAAAAAAAAAAAGAAAAAAGAAAAAAATGCATAATTGAGATTAATGCAGATTTTCCTCCCAATTTTTGTTGCTTTCTGTTATTTTCCTGAAGGTATAGAGTTGAGGATGCATGGATAAATTCAAACTTGAGCACCTCATTTTTTGGGTGCATGCAAGAAGTAATTTTTCAAACATAGGAAACCAAAATGACCAACTTCCACTCTCCTAAAGAATACGTTTCCAGTGGTGGTCGTCCTGCAGCAGGCCGACTCAGACACTCACCAGTAAATCGTGTAGGCCTCTGCTTGTGCCGGGTCCTGAATGTTGGGCTCGTTCAGCAGCTCCTGAATGCCCAGCAGGATCTAAACAGAAAATGTTCTGCACTCATTACATCCCCCAAAAAAACAAATCTACTCTTTTTTTTACTTTTTTAAAGAAATTTATGACATGATCACACACACTGATGGCAGGAAGCAGTAAAAACAACATTAGTGTGATTTTAAACTGAGGGGATTTCCATCCTTACTTGCTCCTAGTTGCTTTAGTTTAGGCTTCCTCTTAGCTTACCGTCACATTTGCCCATTAAGTGAATATAATCTGTGATTTGAAGCAAGTTGTAGATTATTTTCAATTTGTTAACCTCTTAAAATTCTTATTGTTTTAAGTTAATTACTTAGTTTGTTCATCTAGTCTTCACTGTCACAAAGGAACTTCCCAGCTTGAAATAAACTACTACTTGCACACACACACACACACACACACACACACACACACACACACACACACACACACACACACACACACACACACACACACACACACTTCCTCTAAAATACATGTTCTAATTAAAGGTTGCATGAACAATAAAAAAAAATCTAAGTAGCTTTTTACTTTGGCAAAAAGGCAACTAGAGTAGCTGGTTGTCGGTAGAGGAAAAAGCAAAGCAGCTCTGTTATGCAACAGGCTGTTGCTTTTTCCACTTACAGTCCTGCCCACCATTATTGGCACCCCTTCATGATTTGCGTAGCTGAGTGAATATATTCAGAAATAAATGGAAATGTTCAAAACTTATATCAGCAGGATCTTTCAATTTGAGGTCCAAAGTAATCTAACAAAGACAATTACCATTTCAACATAAATATTTTAATTCCAAAGGACAAAACAGAAAACCAGCGTGTGCACTAATATTGACATCTCTCTTTAATATTAGGTTGCACAGCCTTTGGCAGCAATGACGGCCTCCAAACGTTTCTTATATTCATCTAAAAGCTTCTTGCATTTTCTCCCACACTTCTTTTGCAATATGCTCAAGCTCTTGTACATTTGCAGGGTTCCTTCCTCCAATGGCAGATTTCAGCTCCACCCAAAGATTTTCAATTGGATTGAGATCAAGACTCATTGCTGGTCATTTTAAAACAGTCCATTTTTTCCCTTTCAACAATGCCTGTGTGCTTTTGGAGGTGTGCTTTGGGTCGTTGTCTTGCTGGAGGACCCAGGATCTTCGCCGCAAACCAAGTTTCCTTACACTGGGCAAGACATTTCGCTCTAGAATTGCTTGATAATCTTCTGATTTCATAATGCTTGTGATGTCCTTGGCCTCCACCCATAAAGCCCCACTTTGTTTAGTATGCGGCGTATGGTACTTGTTGAAACAATCACACCAGACTGCTCCAGGCTGGTCTTTAGGTCTTTAGATGTTAGATGTGGTGTTTTTTCCACCATTCGCACCAACCGTCGAAGACTTCTGTCATCAATTTTTCTCTTCCCCCCACGGCCAGGGAGGTTCTTGACCGTTCTATGCCTGTTATTAATAACATTACGCACCGTTGAAACAGGGACACCAAGGTCTTTGGAGATGGCTTTATATCCTTTGGAGGACTTGTGCTTGAAAATAATAGCATTTCTTATGTCCTCAGACAGCTCCTTTGTCTTTACCATTGTCACATGTGGAGATGAACTAACAGGTGGCTTTTAAAGCACCAGCATGATTATTCATTGGTTAATTCATGTCACATGTGTGGCGGCAGTCCATCACAAGTGATCTTTATGTATGATTTGCAACAGGTGAGCCAAATTGGGTTTTCATATTGATTTGCAGCAAAGGGTGCCAATACCATTGGCATGGTAAAAATGATGTTTTTTCTTTGTTTTCCTCATAATGTTTATCTTTTTAAATGTTTTTTTATCATTTGCTGTTTTGCATCAAGCACAAGCTATCAGCAGTAAAATGTTGTTTCACTTGATGAATTTCCTTCAGTAAATATTCCATTATATGTACTTAAACTTCATGGGTGCCAATAATGGTGAGCAGGACTGTAATTCAACCTTATTTGCACTTTGTTGCTGCAGCAGTCAGACTGATGCAACACACCGTGCCAAAAATACCCACCAGACTTTTTCTACGAGTGGATAGATAATGCAACATGCAGCGTTTTTAGGACGGAAAGTTGAACGGGTTTTCTAGGACAGAAGTCAGACCGTGTTGCATCGTCTCTGCGCTGCTTGATGCTTTTTGATACGTTAGTAAACGGTATCAAAAAGCATCAAGAGGGCACGTCTTTATTTAAACATTCTGACACGACGCAGAGGAGATTTGAATCGTTTTATCCTCATACAGGAACGCATTTGCTGTCTGCACAAAGTGAAATGTGTAAAATAAATCTCATTAGTCATTAATGATTTTCATTTGGATTTGTTGACTCAGTTGGTAGTGGATCAGACGGCGCCGTGCGGCTCCGAGGTGAAGCAGGCGCGTCGTACTGTAAGCTGAGGCTACAGTCGTTCGATTTCTTCCCCCACCCCGTCTCTTCCTGTCATGCTACTAATAAATCAAAACCGCAAACGCAACTAAATATTTTCTTTTTTTCTCCAAAGACACCAAATTGTTAATTCGATTAATAAAATCTTTAAATACAAAAAAAAAAAAAAAAAATGCCAGGGGGAAAGAAACGGCAAGAATAAAAACATTTAGTCAACTAAAGGAAGTCGCAGCAATCCAAACCTGCTTGATGGTGATGGCCGGCCGCCAGTCTTTGTCCTCCTCTAAGATGGACAGACACACGGTGCCTGATGGGTAGACGTTGGGGTGGAATATCGGCGGCTCGAACTTACCTAGAGAAAAAGCAACAAGTAAAAAAAAAAAAAAACGAGTCAGCCTATCACGATAACAAATTTTGCTGGACGATAAATTGTTCCAGAAGTTATTGCGATAAACGATAACATTGTTGCTTTGAGACCATTTTTAAGTAATATGATGGTAATAGCAAAAATAATAATGCAAGAGCACATTTTTAAACTTTAAATCTAATGAACATTTGACATGGGAACTGGAAGACATTTTAAATATTCAAAATAAACAAAACAACAAATAAAATGAATTTTGAAGACTTTGTAACCAAAATTGTCTTTCAAAAAAAGGTCTAGTTGAGACTGAAGCACCAAACTGAAGACTTTTATCATCCAGTTTTTGGTAGGAAGACAGAAATTATTGAGTTTGTTTTACTTCATCATGCCATTAATTGACTTATTGATTATTGTGACAGGCCTGAAAATGAGTTCAAAATACTAAAGTCCTGAAAGAAACTCACAAAATCAACGTAGTATTACAGCATTACCCAGCCATCAATAAGTGATTCACACAAGGTCTCTAAAACAAGAGTAGATCTGAGTCAACTTGAGCACCGAGCCTTGCAGAAAACCTTAAACTTTACAAACTTTTCACTTTACAATGGGTTTTATCTGGCCTTTATGAGATACACAAACACAAATTGCAAAGCACATATCATCTTCCTTCCAGGTGAAAATCCGATTAAAAATCCCATTGAAATGCGTGGAACTTTGTGAGAAAATCTGGAAAAGTTTAAGAGGTGTGAATTCGTCAGCAGAAAGCTGCACTTCTAAATAAAACATGCTTCCTCCAACATTACCTCTATTAAAATATGCTTCATATTTCTCACCACCTCCCAACTCTATGAGGCATTCTGCACGTATGCAACATTAAAAAAAATAAAAATGCATTTCACACGCACGCAACGTGTTATAGGACAACTACAATGCAACTCCGGAAACTGATCCCTTAATAAAAATATTTTCTAGATTCTCATTAACCAAACTCTTTACTGTAGTGATAACATTTCAAACCATGCGGTTCAGTAAACCTGCGTGGTTTGCACCAGGTAGTGCAACAGTTAAACTTTATACACAGGTTTTTGTGGCCGGCACTATTATTTCCTGAGCTCTTCCTGCTTCCTTTTTAAATAGCTGGCTGTTTGTGCTCTTTAGCGTGACATTATCGATGCACGGAGATGCTAGAAGAGACCGACTCACATTTGGGTGGAGAGGACGGGTAGTCATCTTTGAACAGCATTCGGAGCTTGTAGAGTCCTCCCTCCCACAAGGTCTACGGGATGAAAGGGGAAGCAAGAGAGTTTCTGAGTAATTCATCAAATGTTACGGCTTTTAAGCTCCGAATCTCACTTCATGTCCAAAGCTGGAGGAAGCATCGACTTTTAAAATGCAAAACTGAGTGGGAAGAAGTTGAAGATTTCTAATTTCGGACACAGATGTGAAAGCAAGTGTGTTTGCTAAATATTTAAAAGGTGACCTACTAAACTTCCTTGAACAGGTTAGGGTAGGCCTATCATCTATACAAAACACATTCATTACATTTTTTTTTTTTTTTTTTTTCCAAAAAACTCCCTTTAAAAAACAAATTTTTTTTTGGGGAGTTTTCCCTTTTTTTGGGT